TTATTTTACAGTCAGGATTTGAAATAGACGAGAGCAAGAAGGATTTTGTCCTTCAAAAGGCTGGGAGGGCATTACGGTCTTTCAGACATTTTATGACACAAAAATATTTGAAAGATCCTGATGCTGAATTTATAGCCCAAGTTCCTCCCCTATTACAGCCTTTAGTAAAGCAAGAAGATTGGGATGCTTTTGTTGTCTCTCGGTGCAAGAAGGAATTTAAGATATTTATGTTTCTAAAATTTAAATTTTAGTGCCTTTTATTGAATGTATCTATGCGTACTAACAGGATATTTTTGTTATTGATTAAAGGAACTGAGCGCCCAAAATAAGGAGAAAGTGGCCAAAAATGAATATCTTTACAGAGCAAGGAGGTTAGGGTATGCAGGCGTGGAGCAGAAAGAAGTGGAGGCCGAGGGATCGGATGTTACCATATCTTGCCAAAGACTCTGGGCATTAGCACAAACAAATAAAGATGGAGTGATTGACAATCCTCGTGTGAAAGAGGTTGCTGAAAAAATTGTAAGTGTTATTCTTATCTATCAATTAATAAATGATTATTAAAATGCATACTAATTAGCTCTACTTTTCACAGGATTCCCTCTCTCAAGAAGTATAAGAGGGCAAGCTTTCTGAGCATGAGGATATCTTAGCTAGAGCGTTAGGGACCCCTGACCACCCTGGTCATGTTAGGGGTGTCGACTTTGGTGTCACAAAGAAGCAATACTTTGGCAAATTAAGAAGCGAACATCGGCTTCTTCATCTGAGGTCCAAAAGTTGAGAGAAGAGCAAGCTGTTATACAGCAACAGCTAGAAGCCCAGGCGAAGTTAATTGACATGCTACTAAAGGGGCAGATCCCTGGGAGGCTTTTGGCTAACATTAGCCCCAGCGGGAAAGATAGCTGCACAGTCCCTTCAAACAAAATACCCGAGGTAATGCATTTTCTCTTCTAAATTTACTTAACTAATTTTTTATCTAAACAACTGACATTCTTCATTTATTTAGGGTGAGAATGATTGCAACTGTTTAGCAGACGGGACGCGTGTATAACATTGTTGGGGACACAATCCATAACCTTCCCCTCCCGCCTGATTACATTAGGGTTTCCTTGCTTGTTGCAATTGACCCCAAGTATCCATTACCTTATCCTACTGATGAGATGCAGATGGTAGGAGATGCGTTAGGGAGCTTCGTTGCATGGCCCAGCCACCTTGGCAGGTTTTGGCCATCAATACTTGACGCTTGTTTTCTTATAACCGTCAGTATTTACAAATACTTGATGCTTGTTTTGAAACAAGCGTCAAGTATTTATTCTGGAAAGGGCATACTTATTTCATATACTTAACGGTTTTTTTCAAATAACTGTCAAGTATAAGATTAATACTTGACGATTAAAAACCGTCAAGTATTATTTCTTTAATATATGTTGCACCCTTACTTAACAGTTAAAAACCGTCAAGTATTGTAAAAAATAAGCATTAAATATGGGTATTTTTTGTGATAGTGGATCTTAATAAAATGGCTCATAAAAATGAACCATTCATTTTGGCTTTACAAGCTTAACAAGTGTTCTATGTGTTAGATCTAGCGCATAAAAATTGGTTGATTGTGCTTTTAATAAATAAAATAGTGGGTAATGAAGAGAATGAAGATTTCAACATTGAGGATGACCCTTTTAGGGGAACATCATGGACAGTTGATGTTTCAACTAGGGATAATGCCTTCTATATTAGAGAAGATCATACAAAAGGGATTTGAATTGATGAGGGATATGTATAACACATAAAAGAAAAAAAAAAAAAAAAAAAGAAAATAATCTTAACACTTGTAAGATATCTCTTTAAATTTTCTTTTATTTGTTAAAAATTTATTTTTTGTGTAGGTAAATGGCTACCTCACCTAAGAAGAATAGTGATGCTCCACCCACTAAAAAAGAAGCATTCAAAGAGGTTAAGTGGGGCAAAAATGTTATGAAAGCAATGATACGAGCTCGGGTAGCTAGTTGTAAATTACCAGTAAATTGGAATGATAAGGGCCAACTAGTTAAGTCTCCTCAATTGGTCAGTTATATAGGGATCTTAGCTCGTCATTATGTGCCCTGTTGCATTATAGACTGGAGAAAGAAAATTGACCCATAGCTTGAAGAAATAAAAAATAATATCTAGGAAGATTTGTGTATATCTTTTGACTTGGATGAGAGTCATAGGCATTACAGTATGAGAAAAGCAGCATATGCTCATAGAAAATTTTGAGCTATTCTCATAACATATCATCTAAAAGATGAAAATAGAGAATTCAAACCTCATCCTCTTGAAATGTATCCAGATATCTAGCAAGAGCATTAGAATGAATTTATTAAAATGTGCCAGTAGCCTAAATTTCAACAGATCAGCCAGGTCAATCGCTCTAGAGCTGCAAGTACTCCTTTTCAATATAGAGTAAGAAGAAAGAGTTTCTAGATATTGAGTAGGGTTTGGTATTTCCAATTAATATCGTATATTGATATGATTTATATATATAAGAAAATGTTTTTAAATCATTATAATATCTTCTTTAAATAGAAGGAAGAAGTTGGACCTAATGCTCCAATTTCTCGAGCTCTTATTTGGAAGACTGCTCGAGAAGATAAAGAGGGCAAATTACTTGATGAACGCACTTAAAAAGTCTTGGAGGATTGTGTGAGTACTGATATTTTAGTGTATTACTTTATTTACGTTATTTACTTAATAATCAGTTTATAATTTGTTCAACAGAAAGCATTACCACAATCAATATCACAAAATGATGTGGGCAAACATGTGGATGTCCTTGGTAAGGCATTAGGAGCTTTAGAGGTCTCTAGTCGCATTAGAGGAGTCAGATTCAGCATTTCTTAGGGCACTTACTTTGGATGCCAATCCAAAATTTTTACCAAAGGTGATTTTAATTCAAGGATGGTAGAAATGGAGGCAAGAATGGAAAAAAAGATTTCAATCTCAAATGGAAAAGAGATTTGAGCAAATGATTGGAGTCGTAAATGTGCCACAAGCTAGCCCCAGTGATAAAGATAGCTGCTCATTCCATACTAAAGAAGAATTTCCTAGTGTTATAATTTTTTCTTTATATTATCTTCTATTTATTCACAAATTATGTTTCACATTTTTTTAAAATATTATTTTTTTATTTTGAGGGCAAATCTCAATGTCAATTATGGTTAGAATCACCACATTGTCATGTCGTGTCACTTAGATCTATGTATAATGACAATAGTGTTACTATACATTTCAGACCATTACCTGCTAATCACTTAGGCCATGTTTGGTAGGTTGGAATTGTGAAGATGGAAATGCAATTGGGATAAGAATCTGAATAAAGTAATGTTTGGTAGATATGAATTACAATTCTTGGGAATCCTGATTCCATGAAAAGAGGCAGAATTGAATTCCTTATTTAAAGCTATGGAATTGGGAACAATTCTATAGAATTGTAACATTTAAGACACTTTTGCCCTCATACAAATTCCAGAAAGATAAATTTGCCCTCAAAAAATATAAAACCCTCACCTCACTCCTGGTTCCTGATATTTTTGCTCATTATATATAAAACGTTATAATATATATATATATAAGATAGTATTATACATAATATTTGTATATAATTTATATATTTATAATATTTTTTGTAAAATATTTTACTGGATTTTTTATTATTTAGGAAGGAAAACTTTTGATTTTCTTGTATTTCCTTGCTACCTTTATTAAATATTTTTATTGGTACACAATTAAGTTTTTATTATGTTTTATTTTAATTTTTATATAGGGGTATTTTTATCTTTTAAGTATAATTTCATTTCCATGTCTTGCATACCAAACAAAAGTAATGCAAGGATTTCATCTAATTTTTCTGACATACCAAACATACTTTTATAATTCAATTCTATTTCAATTCTGATTCCAATTCTGATTCCAATTCCAATTCCAATTTCATCAAAAACTATTCAATCATACCAAACGGGGCCTTAAAGATGACTATAACTATTCCAATAAAAAATGATGCCGAGTTGCTGGTGTAAATAGATGATGAGGATATATTTATGATTTTTGATGCCGTTGGATCTTACATGGCTTAGCCTGCAAGGCTCGTTAAATTACAAGTATAATAATTGATGGTTCTTTAAAATCATTCATATTTTCTTTAGGTCTTAACAATTAATTTTATATTTTGTAGTCCTCAAAATCTAAACAAGTGGTAAAAAAGCCAATCAAAGCGAAGGGAAAGTCGTCGAAAGGATCTACCTCTATAACTAAGGTAGGGAAGACCAACATAGAATATATTCAGTTGAAATATCCTCTTCAAAACACACTTGAAGTGATTGTGCGAACAACATTTAAAAATAAAATCCATAAAGTAGAATTTGAAAAGGAGATTTATGGTGAAATAATTAGCAAAAAATTAGCAGCTAAAAATAATAATGAAATTCTGACTAAGGATTGGCTACAAACCACACACACAAATTAGTTTATATATCAGGTACTTTCTAAATTGTATTGTTTATTGTGATATTTATTTAATATTAGTTGTGAATGTTTCTATTTTTTTTATTTTAGGTACTTGTACCATACTTTTGTGGTGCCAGGCTCATTGATAATTAAATTTTCATTTATTAGTCCTCACAACACTAGTACTTACAGTCTTGAATACTATTGTCAAAAGATTACCAATGCATTCAAGGACGAAGGCAAAAGAAACATCTTATTTTTAGCTCCTCACAATCTAGGGTAAGTTGTTATTGTTATTTATCTTTAAATTTAATTGATATTTTAATTAATAAAATATTTTATTTTTTAGATAACATTGGGTGCTTGTTTGTATCAATCCATTGGTCCCTGTAATTTATTATCTTGACTTATTAAGAGATAGTGACTTTAAGAACTATAAATCTATGAGAATATTATTTAATCAATAAGTTTTTAATTCTATATTATTTATACATGTTTATTATAATAATTATTTTTTACTCGGTATGCTTAATCATTATAAGGCTGTAGCACGTTATCGAGGTGGTGAAGGTCTCCCTCCAAACGTCAAAAGGTATGATCCTGTTGAGTTTTATAAATGGAAAAGAATAAAGGTTTGTATTATTTTTTAATAAAACAAGTTGGTATGTATCTAAATTATTATTTGATTGATATTTTATATTTGTTATTCTGAATATGTTGTTCTGGATTGATGTAAAATTTTTGAAAAATTCTTGAACTTTCAAGTTATAAAGGAGACTTTGCTGGATTTTTGATGGTGACATATACTTGTATTATATATATAACTTCATCTTTAAAGTATTTTAAATTAAGTTGAAATTTGTTTCTACTATATTTTGATAATGTCATCTTTTATTATTTTATAGGTACCTACACAATTACATGGTTGGGAGTGTGGATATTATGTTATGAAGTTTATGAGAGAAGTAATCACACAATAAAAGTTAATCATTTTTGAAAATGTAAGCCAAAACTTTGAAATTAAGTTAATATAATATTAATTATTTATATATTGCTTTCATATCTTGTGTAGTATTTTGTTTGAGCAAGATCCTCGCATTTTATTATGGAGCAAATTGAAGATTTAATTGAAGAGTAATTAAAATATATTATTCACTGTTTGTGATAGGAAGTTAAATTTCAATATTAAAAAAAATACCAATAGATTTTATTTATTAAGCTTGCTAGAAATTAAACCAACTAGTTAGGAAATTGAAATTGTTGTTTTAATTTCAAGTGCTTTCCTTGTATATAAATTTTTATGTTAATAGTATTTATAAATTAGTTTTTGATATTGGGATTAGTTTTTAAAGAGGAGTAAAGGGAGAAAATTCAAAAATTGTAGATTAAAAAAAATAAATACAACCTACAGGAATGCTCATAATAAGTGCTCCTGTTGTATGTGAACATACAAGAGCGATTTTAGAAATCACATATGGGAGCCTTCTTTCTGAGAGCACTCTTGTATGTTGTCTTGAAAGTCATAATTTTTATCTTATATATGGGAGGGCCTTTCTAAAAGCACTCCTGTAATGTTTACATTTAAGAGTGCTTCACAAAGTATTCTCATATATTTCAGAGCGCTTTCAAAACATTCCCAAAAGCTTAAAAAGAGCACTCTTGTAAATGTATTTTGTAGTAATGTAATTTATTCATAGGAGTACTTTTGGAGAACAAAAAGGTAATAATTATATTTTAAAAAAACAAAAATTATCTTACATTTGTTAATATTCGACTTCTCAAAAAATATCTGATATTTTTTAATAGAAGGAATATAACTTTGTCAATATTTTAATTTTCAAGAACAATATCTTTATGATAATTTATACATTTAAAATTGATTTTGACTAAGTCATTCAAATATCTATTAGAGTTTTAAGAATGTTCATTTTATAATTTCACCCTTCATTTCAAATATTTTTAAAGTAAGACAAATATTTTTAATTTTATCAAAATCAATTTAAAAAATATGATCCAAATATTATCAGATTTTATTAATTAATTTTTTTTATAATCAATTTTTTAATTAAAATCCAAATACTCCCGCGTCAATTCATGAACAGAAGTTTTTCGCCCAAAAAGGGAAAACGATTTTAAAAAATATAACACAAAAATTTGAAAAAGTAAAAAATCTCAACGAAGGCAAACATTTATGGCTAGTTCACAACATCAGCAGAAATGTGATGTGTTTTCGACTTCTGATTGGGTGTTTGTGTACGCCGTTGCACGGATGAAATGGACTTGTAGCCTTGAAGCCGACTAGGTACGGAAGATTTAAAAAAAAAATATATATATATATATAAGGCAAAAATTTGGAAAAGTAAAAAAATCTGATCGAAGGAAAACATTGACTGTCAGTTGGCAAAAGCAGCTGAATTGTGATGTGTTTTCGACTTCTGATTGGGTGTTTCTGTACGCTGTTGCACGGATGTAATGGGACTGGCAGCCCTGAAGCTAACGGCGTTAGAACTGGCAGGCAGCAGCGGACTCTTTTATTCTCTATGGTCACGATTTGGCTGTGAAAAAAGAATGTAATAGGATATATTAAAGAAATTAAAATAAAATTATATATTTTTTAATGATAATCATAATAAAATTTATTAATATATATTATAAATGTAAAAATAATTATACATTTTATAATTTTTATGAATCATGATTTTTAATCTCCTAAATTAAAATACCTCATTTTTTTATGAATATAATTCATCATTTCTTTTAATTATCTCACTTTACCTTTATTTTTTTAATTTTTTACATTTTATTTATTTCTAGTAACTAAACGTGACCAATGTTTTTTTTGGGAGAATTGCATTGTAGGCTTTAAAAGAAAAATTGCACTTTGAGCCTAATAAATTCTAAAATGCACTGTAAGCACAAGAGTCATTGTTTCAATTTTTCTTGAGAGCAAAAGTATAATTTTGCCCTTGTATGATTTGAAAACTCAAAACTTGTGTGAAACCATTATTTACAAAGCACAACACAATATTCATGAATTCTCAACACAATGTTCATGCGTCTCCAATTGATTTGCAGGTTAATTAAAATATATAAGTCACACAGAGCATGTACAACATAATGTCTATAGGTGCACAACACAATATTTGTACATTTTCAACACAATGTTCATAAGTTCTCAACATAATGTCCATGCGTGTCTAATGTACAATATAATATCCATGAATACACAGCACAATATTTATGCATTTTCATTTAAATGTCCACACATGTCAAGTTGATCAATGGGTTTAATAAAATATACAAGTTATGCAGATAATGTACAATACAATGTCTATGGATGCACAATATGATATTTATGAATTCTTAACACTATGTTCATGAGTGTTCAGTTGATTTGAAGGTAAATTAAAATAGTCACACAAAGTATGTATAATAATGTCTATGGGTGTATAATACGATATTTATGAATTCTTAACACAATATTCATAAATTTTCAATACAATGCCTATGCGTGTTTAGTTGATAATTAGGTTTAACAAAATGTACAAGTTATGTAAACAATGTACAATACAATATTTATAAATGTATAGCATAATGTTCATAAATTTTTAATTAAATGGCCATGCATGTCATGTTGATCAATCAAACACTTTCACTTTATTTCTTTCATTTTAATTATGGGTAAAATTGTATTTTTACCCTCAAGAAAAATTACAACAATGGCCCTTAAATTTGCAACGTATTATCAAAATCTTTTAGACCTGCATTGCAATTTTTTCTTTTTCTTTTTTTGTTTTTTTTAGGGCTTGGAGTGCGATCCTCCCTCTCCTCTCTCTGCCGATAAAACATCAAATTAATTAATCTCTTTCTTTGGCTCTTGGTTATTTTAATATTTTTACCTCAGTTGCAGCTTTAGTTATTTCATTCTTTTACCAAAACAAGCGAAGGAGATATTGGTCTCCATCTTCTATTTCAATCCAAAAAACTTGGCTTTGTGGCAGCAAAGAGCAAACGTATCAAGCAAGCACAAGTTTTCTTGTTTCGTTTGGAAAGGTAAGTTCCACTTTTGGATCTCCATTATATTCCTCTTCTCTTTCTCTTTCTGGATTCTGCAGGACAGTGATAACCGATCTCAGCTTCTAGTTTTGATTTCTCCTCCTCTGTTAATCTTTCCCAAACCCTCAATCATTTTCACGTTGACGACTCTCAAATCATTTCTCTTTTACCTTGCTCTCGGTTCTATCCAATGTTGCTTGGTTTCTAGGTTTTTGACTGTTGGGTTTCTTGTCCAATTTTACTGAGATAACTTCAATTGGAATTGAAATTCCTTCTAGATAGCTCATGTGTCATTAACCAGAGGATTGTGACGACTTCAAGAATTTGATCTCTTTTCTGACTGTTAGGTTTCTTGTCTTACTAAATATACAATGGGATTTGAATTTTCAACACTTAATTTCGTTATCTTTTGCCATATTTTCAATCTCTTATATAGAGGTTTCTGGGTGTTCTTCAAGTCTTGATTCAAAGGCTTATTAATTTTCGAGCCATAAGTTAATAATTAATTATAGGTTTTCTTTCTCTGTAAGTTCTTCGTTCTGAGTCAACTTGTTCAAATGACTTTGTTTTTTCATAAGAATCTTTCTAATTCACACTGAGAGGGAATTTAAAGAATTAATAGATATGGTGAGAGGGAAGATACAGATGAAGCTTATAGAGAACAAAACAAACAGGCAAGTGACATTCTCAAAGACTCGTAATGGACTGTTAAAGAAGGCTTTTGAACTGTCAGTTCGGTGTGAAGCTGAGGTTGGTCTCATCATCTTCCCCCCCAGAGGCAAGCTCTTTGAATTTTCAAGCTCCAGGTATAAATTTGTATGTGTGTCTGTATATATATTCATGCTCTTCAATCACTGCATGTTATTAATGGTTTGTGTGCATAATCGGTATCTTCCCCCTTCTCTGAGTTTGACTTTTCTTTTTTTTTCTTTTCCCTTTGGGGGTTGGTCAACTAAAAGGTAATGTGGTGAATGTAGTTAAACAGATTCTTGCTATATGTGTATCGTTCTTCTTGTTCCCCCCCCCCCCCCAAAGATATATGCATGGTTCAGTTCACATAAGTTACTAATTAAGTTGGGTTCGAGTACATTTGTGTAACTGTTCAAGTTTCATGTTCATACTTCCTAGGGAGTTGGTTTTTAATTTCATACGAAAAGAAAAAATCCAAGTCTAATAACAAATGTAGGTTCAGTATGTTACTGTGTCTATCAATTGTTGACATGACATAGATTGATAATACAAATTAATGATTTTAAGAAAAAAAATTATAAACGAACCATCTAGTATTTTGTACTAACAACACACTTGTATATTCTAGCCTAGTTGGTTTTTCCATTTAAAGATTTGGACTCAAGATCTTGTGTTGAGTTCCACTTCTATTAGGACTTATTTATAATTTTACTCAAAATGGATAACAAATTTATTTAATGTATTTATAGTTAATATTTTTATTTAAAAATATACTGTACAAAAATAATTTAAAGAACTGCCGCTTCTATCAATTTCTAAATAATTTTATTTTTATGATTTCAAAATAATTTTTTAGATTTCCTGATTTTCACTAAATTTTCTCGGACTTGATTGATTTTTTAAAATAGCTATGTTTTCCTTCTGTGAATGTTTGAACCAGATCAGAATCTAGTTTGTTGGTTCATTTATTAAATTAGTCCATCTCGTCTCATATTTATAACATTAAAAAAAATAAAAATGCTCTAGTTTACCACCCGATATCGTATCATATGATATGACAAAATTAACGCATGCATCTTAGCATTAGTTCCAAACAAATTGAGTTAAAAGATTATGTTAAGATACGGTGATTTCCTTGGCCAAAAAAAAAAAAAAAACAAGAAGAAGAAGAAGAAGAAATGATATTTTTCATGAATGATGTGCTTGGATATCACCTTTTTTTTTCCTTGAGGCTGGAAAATCACCATATTTTTAATTCAATTAGAGTATCACTTAGGCTGTGGTTTCAATCACAGCCATCCACCATTTAATCTACCATGAGGAATTCATTAATTATGACTTATTGTTAAAATAATTATAAATATGAAGTGATCATGACGGTTTTCCCCCCTTTCTCTAATTGAATTATGAGGAATTAATTAATTATGACTTATTTTTAATAATGTTATACTCCTCTGGTCTTATTTATAGGAGAGAGAGAAGAAAAAATTTGATCTTATTTTTAGGGTACTTGTTAATTTCTAATGCCCCTATTTACATTTTTGCCCTTATTAAATGTTTTGAATAAAAATACTAGTAATGAGATTTCAAAATATTTATTAGGAACAAAGGTGAAAACTTATTAAATTTTAAAGCAAAGTTAATGAGCTTTAAGGTTTTTCTTGATTTCAATGAAACATATTGAAAGTAAATTATAAATAGGATCAGACGGAGTATATGTTATGTACTACATTTGCTTAACTTTCATTCTAACAAAATGACATCTTAGGTAAATTAAAGTCAAAGCTCTCCTGAAGTATATTTCATGACCATATATATTGCCTGATAGATTTGTTATATTTTTTTAACTTCGAGTTATAAAACAGAATCAATTATTTTATTCTTGCAATGTTAGTTATTTTTTAGATAAATCCCAAATAACATTATTGCATTTGCAGTTATATTGTATTCTGAACTTTTATTATGGTTTCCTATACAGCTTTAAAAGGATATAATTTTTTTTGTTTCCTTTTAAAAGGTATAAGTTCTTTAGGTTTTAATTATCATATAGTCTATAGCTGTTTCAAAAGATGATGAGTTAGTCAAATACAATGTTTTTTTTTTTTCCCTTTTCATAATTAGCATAAGAAGTAGGTTAGGCTGACAATGGAGAATATCTTCTTGGGTAGGTACTGATAATATTAGGTAGACCTCTCCCAACTAATAAGAAATACATTGGGGCAAGAATTATCTCCTCTTCCTTTCATGTTCTCTTCCATTTTTTTTCCTTTTTATTTAATCATTAGATAAAGATTTAGATATTTGATCATCTATAAAATTATTATTAAAAATTAAAAAGAGGAGGGGAAGAAGACTAAAAGGAAGAGGAGAACCATTCATGCCAACTTTAGTTGGTCGAATATAATGCCAAATATATAAGTTTTTCCCTTTCAAAAATACTGCGATTTAACGATTAAAATGTTAACATTATATTAATGATAGGCAATAATAGCAAATGAAATGATTTCATCATGAGTAATAATAGAGTATTGAAGGGCATTATTGAAACAAAAAATTAATACTTCGAAAAATTTGGATAGACGACTTATAATTTGAACCATCTTAATATTCTCTCACATGTCTTGTATATAAGAGGAGCGTGATTAATTAGGAAAACACTTACCTAGTATTGAAATATTTGGTATATTTTTATTAGTAATTTGACAAATATAAAACTCATGTTTTCAATTTAGGTAGGGCCATGTGAAGCAGTATTGAAACCAAAAGCGAAATTATTAGCAAGGCCTGGCATGTATAATAGTTTCTTTTTTCTATAAAAAAAAACATATTCTTATAATTTTTTTAAGCTACAAAATTATATATTGAAGTTTGGTGATCAAATAATTCTCATAAAAAATTGAATTGATTCCATGGGGGAAGATGAGAATTGTTGTTAATATACTATTCTCTCTCCTTCCCATTTGTTGGAATGGTATGTGAATATTAATACTGATATGAGGTGCCATGCAATAATTTTTCAACCAAAAGATGTAAATAAAAGGGAAAATCACTTTGAGGACCCGCATAAGATAATTAAAATGATATCAATGATAAATAAAAAAATCAAATAATAATTATATAAAGTATAAATAAAGTTTTGATGAGGCCTAAGGCTCTAGCCTTGATGGCCTAAAGCCACACAGGGCTGTGAATTTAAGATCTAACTCTATAATGATTTAATTAGATGTGCTCGGTATAGAATATAAGAACTGATGAGATGTAATGTTTGTAATTTATATAATAGTATTATTATAAATTTATGTTTTAGATTGAGTATGATTATTTGATTCTTATAAAAAATAAATTAAATTATGACAAAATATAAAAGACAACACTAAAAAAGTCTTACATATAATGTAAGCACAACAATCATAATACAAGTATTTATATCAGTGGCGGACCAAAGCCCCCCCCCCCCCAATTTGTTTAAATTTTTTAGGAAAAATATAGCTTTGCCTCCCTATATTTTACTCACACTTTGCTATTGTTCTTGTATTTTTTTTTTTGTATATTTTTGGTCCCTATATTTTCATTTTTCATTAATTTAGGTCCCTGGAGGGTTTAGGGTTAAATTAATGAAAAATAAAAATATAGGGAGGAATAACACACAAATAAAAAGTGCAAGGATTAATAGCAAAATATGAGCAAAGTATAGAAACCTAAAGTTATGTTTTTTCCATTTTTTACCATGCTATGAGGTGGTTTTCTATAAGAAAAAAAAAATTTCTGCTTAGGCCTCTCAATCTTCTAACTTTCACTTTTACCATATTTTCACTATGCATCTCTTACTCCTTAGTCCCTCCACCTGATCTTTTGTAGTATCTCTTCTTTTTTTTTTTGTCCTATTTATAAGTTATGTAATTAAATTTTTATTGTAAATTTTTTTTACCCTCTATTAAATAAATATTGAAGAGATAAAGTATGCTATTAAAGTATGTACATTTAATAAGGGTAAAATTAAAAATTTATTAAATTTTTTAATAAAATTAACGAGTTTTAAGATTTTTTTGATCCCAATGAAACATATTAAAAATAAATTGTAAATAGAACCAGAAGAGTATCTCTATAAGTAATGGTAAATAAAAATATAACTAAATTATTAATTTCTTTTTTATTTACTCAGTTTTTTTTATACGATTGCAAAGCTTTTTTCTTGATTTTTTAAGTTTTGTATAAATGATTTGTTATCTTATAAGTTTTCTCAATTCTATTATAAAATTATTTTTTATTATTAATTAAAAATTAAATAACTCAATCCATCAATAGTTATATACTATAAAATTGCCCCCAGCCTTACTATTCGTGTTCTGCCCCTGATTTATTTCATCGAACATATAAAGTTCTTGTTTCCTGAGATCTTTTTTCTTCAATTTATACGAAAAGTTAAGAACAAAATATTCTTAAATTGTTTTGATTCTATTGGGGAGATTCTGAAATTCTATGTTTTGATATCTTTTGGTGTTTGTGATACTCGTATGAGTGATTTGCACATGTTTTCTCTTCTTTTTTCTTTTTTTTTTTCCTTTTTTGCTACACACATGTTTTCAAGCATACAGTATTTTAAGCATATATATTTCATCTTCCAAATCCATCCAATGTATATACATGTGTGTGCGCCAAGAAAAAAATATTAGTTTCCTTCACATTTAATTTTTGTTCTGTCGAAGATAATTATTGCTTCTTCTATTATACAGCCTGCAGGAGACAATTGATCGTTACCACAAGTATATTAGAAATTCTCATTTCCCCAGACAAAATGTGCAGGTTCATAATTATATATGGCCCTCATTTTTTTTTATTGCAATTATTTCCCCATTTCATATGTTCTCTTTATCATCTTCCATCTGAAAGTAAATTAAGATCTAGCTAGTATTTAGTTATTTTTTGAAAGAAAAGATCAAGTATTCAACTTCTATGCTGTTTTTATCATCTTTTAATGCCAATGCTGTTTGTCATTTTATTTAAATAATCGTTTAGTCCTTTTCATTTTAGTTTAATGAAAATTTCGATTAATATGGTACCCTAATTTAAAATTTAACAATGTTGTCTTTGTATTTTTCAAAATGATCGTACTTTGTTTGGATTTGTGCAAACTAATTACAGCGCTCCTACAACACACATAATTGGTAAACAAAATTAATCAATAATAAATTAACGTAAATTAGACACAAATTTACCTTCCAGCCCCCCTCAGCTCATTTGTCTCTAGTGCATTTTGTTGCACAACATAAAAATTCATAAAACAACAACTTGAAATGAAACAAAATGCAGCGAATATATACCACCATTTTTGTTGTATGTTTTATTTTTTGTATCTTGCCCATTGTGTCAGCAAATCAAAATTACTTTTCTTGAAAATGAATTGCTTGGAAGCGATTGTGGGGAAGCGTGATTAATGTTACTACTAGAGACTAAACTCTGTAACATCCTTTTCAAGACATCATCCTTGCAACTACTGGATGTATAAAAAAAATCAATTTGTAAAAATCACTTTATTAAGGAAAACACAACTGTTGGTCCCAATAATTTCTGACATGTTTTGATATAACTATGTCCCTGTACTCTTTTTTCAGTATTCTAGATCCTTCTAGTTCTTTTTATCTATAGCCTTAGTCCCTCTACATTTAAATATATTATGAGGGATGATAATGTGGTACTAATAATGTTAAATATGTCAACATGTGTGTTAATGAGAATGTTGAAGAGTTAAAATCTCAAAGACATTGAAGATCATGCCCAACAAAATGAGAAATAACAAAGTTTGGTCAGACGAGTCAAAATAATCAACTACTTAAGCATGCAACCTCATCAAGATTTTAACATTTCAGCATCCTCATTAACACAATTAGTGATAGGTCAACATATTTAATATCAATTGCGTCACATCATCGTCTCTTTAGGCATATTTGAAAGTAGAGAAACTAAGGTTGCCAGCGAGAAAAACTAGAAAGACATGGAATAATGATTAGTAAAAGCATAAGGACTGCCTATACAAAACATGTCAAAACTAAAAGGACCTTTAATAATGAAAAATTGAGGGTTTATTCTATCACAAGTGATCTGTTTTCTAGTAGTGATTATAGGCGTCGATAGATGTGTTTTCACTTCTATTAATCATGTGTGTAAGCTTAGTTAGGAAAACTCATGAACTTAACTCTAATTTTTGCATCTTTAATCATTTTTCACCTTTTTGGTTGGAGGCCAATGATGAGTGATAATTGCTTGGTTCTTTTCTTTGGTTCCTCTTGCAGTTTGTTTTCTATTCCTTAGTGAAATAAAGTCTCTTTCAGTTTGTACTAAAAAAAAAAAGGAATTGTTTATGATTTTCCTTGCACTCAGGCTTCTTATGGACAAAAATATAACTATAAAAGGAGTTTATTTATATAATTGTGTCTTCTTTGTTTCCTTCAAACTTGTCAATAACACATAATCCTGAAAATGACAGCATCTAACTCATGAAACAGCAAGTATGAAGAAGATTGAGCTTCTAGAAGCTTCAAAACGGTTAGTATCCAAGATCAACTTTCAACTTCGATGGATTACAGTACTGTAGATTTGGATTCAGTGACTGTACTTGGTATAAGCACTGAGTGTCTATAGCATTTGAATCATTGAAATCCGGATCAATGATTTTAAATTCATATTCCACCTGATATTAATGAATGAGTAAGTTTATCTTAATGGTTGATCTGATTTTCAAAGATTCAAATATAGTCACCAAATCTAAGTCCACAGTACTGTTTGCATTCATTGTTGATGATACTTCATTCATAATGAAAGCTTGATTAATTACTTTGCTTTTCTAATTTTAATCTCTCGGGACGCTAACAGGAGAAGGTTTAAACACATGCTCACCACAAGAACTGCATGAGATAGAACAAGAGGTGCAAAAGAGTGTCAGAAAAGTTCGAGCAAGAAAGGTCAAGTTTATGTGCCTATAATATATATATATATATATATATTTAAGTCTAGTTATTTTTTTTTATCTAAATTCAAATTTATGAATACTTTTCAGGATCAAATCTTTAAGGAGAAAATTGGGAAACTAGAAGAAAAGGTAGGGCAGTCCATTGAGCAATGATTTGATAATTGAATGTCATTTTGCATTTAATTTTTGATTTATTATGTGGAGTCTAAAAGATGAGGTATGCTATTTTTGATTTGAAAACAATGCAACTTACTATAAATTATCTTAATCTTATTAATCAATCTGCATTTGAAATCTTTCGATTCCATTTAAAAGAATTCTACACACACACACACACACAAGTACGCCATATACACATACATAGTAGGGATGTTAACCCCTGACTTGAAGCCTAGAGCTCACGTGTCAGGTTCATGTTTTGAACCAAAGGCTCCGATTGACTCGTGGAAAATGTCAAATGAGTCCAATTCAAGTTGGTCACCCCAAATTATATTGGCTCATGCTAGAAAGTCAGAAATAAATAAGATAAATAAGAGAGAACTACTCAGGCGCCGCATAAAAGTATCATAAAGTTTATTGAACTTGAGTATAACAATTGACAACTACACGTACTCAAGCTATGTTGGTTCAAGCTAGCAAGTCATAAATAAATAAGATAAATAAGAGAGAAGTACTCTCAAGTCCAGCACAACGCTCTAAAATACTATATATAAAGTCCATTGACGATTATATTAGTCGTCAATTTGCTATATACTCAAGCTGTTAGTTGTCAATTTTTTTACTTGTCAATGGACTTTATGATATATATATATATATATATATGTATGTATGTATGTATGTATATGTATATATTTCATTTGGCTATTTGACTAAGTTAAATTTGAGCATTGTCAGGTTCAACTAAAGGTAACTCTCCCAAAGATCTTTTTTGCATTCACACAAGCTTGCATTGGAGACCTTGTGCTTAAAACTTTATGATCTATATTAGTTGTCAATTTGTTATACTCAAGTTATCAATAGACGTTATGGTATTTTAGGGTGTTGTGTGGGACTTAAGAGTTCTACCAATAATTAAATAAATAAAAGCTATAAAGCCAAGAAGGGATAAGGCTAGAAATTAAGCAACAAACATATAACACTAATCCTCTAAATTACATGAAAGAAATTAAAAATTTACGATGCACATATTAGATGTCATTTAAATCAAATCAACCTCAAATATTTCTATACATGAATTAGGAAGCTACGAATCATCAAAAAAAATAAAAATATCAATACAAGACCACTTGAGGTAGTTCAAGTGACAAGGGTCATATAAGATCTAGGTAGAGATTAAGGATTCAAACCACGATACAAAAAAGGGAAAACATAGACACACAATCAAAGGTAAAACAAAGAAATTAAATGATTCTATTCCTCATGGGAGAAAAATAGAAAGAAGAGAATACTAAGAGAAAAAACTCTTAAAAATAGTTTTAAAAAATTATATATTATATCTTTGACAGTTTTCTCTCCTAGTATATTCTTTCCTTCATATTTTCCTTCTGTCTTTAATATAATATACCTCCATCCAAACCAAGCCTTATAGTGAAAAATGAGGGCCTGTGGGAGATGGGTGAGAGGTTGAGAGCTAGGTTGAAAATCAAGAAGGTAAAAGAATTAAAGATGAGGGTCTAAAAATGAGTCTGAACCAGAGTCTAAAATGAGGGAGTATGCTGGATGATCGGTGAAGAAATAGAAGATGAAATGCCAAATGGGATGTGGGTAAAATCGAAATTGGACAATAGATGACTTCTTGTTTCTTCTTCATGCTACTTAACGCTTTCATGGACTGAGTTTGGTTGGATAATAAGGGGAGAGAATTAGTTAGAAAGGTTCGGTTCGGTTCGAAATTATTGAAACCGACAAACTAAAGTGCAAAAGTTTTCTTAACCGAACCGAACCAAAATTTTAAAAGAATCAAACTGAAATTGAATCGAAGTTTAATCGTTCAGTTTGGTTGTTCATTTCAGTTATTGGGCTTTTTTGTAAACACATTGGGCCTGCTTTTTGTCAACACATTAGGCCTCTTTTGTCAACAAATTGGGCTTGTCCAAAAAAAATGATACTGATTAAGAAATAAATCCCCTAACTAAAGTGGGGGAAAAACAATCTAGATTCTAGACTGGATTGGTCTAAATGGACCATGTCACATGAAGAGCTACATTAAATAAAGAAATTAGATCATCTAATGGCGTGAACACTAACATTGTCGAACTGAAAACCAAACAACATGAAAAAGCATTCCAAAATAAAAGAACTCAGATATAATAACTTAGTACCTGCATTATATTTTTTTTCCCTACCAAAGAAAGCAAATAATTGATAAATTTCACATATAATTTATAATAAATTTATATTTCACCTACTATGAATTCATAATAATCCAAAATAATGCATCACATAACCATAATAATCCCTTAAAAAACTACAAATAAATCTAAGAGTTTTAACATAATCCAAAATAACTAATCCAATACATCATCATAAAATATTAAACAAAATAAAAGAAGATAGTCAATCCATTGCAACTTGCAAGTTTCTAGCTGTCAATGATATAGTCTTTGCTTGAGCCTACATTATAAAAAAATAGTTAAATTAAACATCTGGTCAAATATTATCTTTATAGAACAAAGAAGCTTACTTGGTAACCACTAAAAAAATGTGCAAGCTGTTACAGAATTAACCACTAACCAAACATCAAAAAGAGTTATACTAAATGAATCAATTGCCACAGTCTAATAGTCTAACAACAAAAAGTAGAAGTTACAAAGCTACAAAAAGAAACAACAAAACAAAAATCACAACTGAATGAACCAATTGCGACAACAATAATGAAAAATTACCTTGAAGAGTTCACACAATATCCACGGCTGGTTCCAATCCAATCCTTTAAAAATCTACAAGTAAATCAATTTATGAGTTAAATTAAATCATAAATAAAAGAATTTTAAAGGTAACACAGTATATACATAACATAATATTATAGAAATTTTACCTCTCTCAATCCTTCGAATATCATCCAATTTCTCTTCTACAACCATAGGAATGGAGTGACGAAGCCAATCTTCAGCACAAATAAGGGCTTGCACAACTTTAGGAGTTAAAGAACTCCTAAATGCATCCAAAACACGTCCTTTAGTGCTGAATGTGGACTTTAAAACAATTGTAGATATTGGTATTGTCAAAACATCTCTTGCCAATCTTGAAATAATGGGAAATCTAAAACTATTCAACTTCCACCAGCCTAAAATATCAAAGTTAGCTTTATCCATTTCAATTTTTTCATTCAAATATTTATCAACTTCAGTCCTATTAGTTTTTCCACCAAGGCGATCACTTAAAAATTTTCTCTTTTCTGATTCAAGCAACTTTCTAACCTTCACAGCGAGGTCATCTTCATTATCAAAATCGGCTTGGATTCATCTATAAGCTGCTCCTTTTTAGATTGCTTCGAGGGGGAGACAAGCTCTTTATACTCATGGAATAAAGCAATGAAAATATCCTTTACTTGCTTTGCCAAATTTTTGCCAACTTCACAATCAAACATTTTACAAAGAGAAAATTCAACCCATTCCAACTTATATCGGGGAACTAGAATAGCAGCAGCATAAATGAGTTAGTTCATCCTTGAAGAATCTCTCCAATACTTATCATACTTCTCATTCATTTTAAATGCCATTGATGATAGCTCAAAATCATCACTCTTTGTCCACTCATCCAAAAGGCGATATAGCGTGTAAATCTCATAAAACAAGCTATTGGATGTAACATAGAAAGCACTAGAAACACGCAAGGTCATCTCATAAAAATGATTCAAAAACATCACCATCGTTCTAACATTCCTCCAATTAGAAGCATCAGGCACCCCTCCCCTTGTTCAAGGTCAATTCAAAAATAACGGTTTTTGTCCTCAAACCTCTTAAAAGCTACCTCAGATTTTTAAGTAGTTTGCAACATTAAATAAATGGAGTTCCACCTAGTAGAGATATCCAGAGTCAAGAGGTTTTTACTTTGAATCTTCTCATGCTCGCAACTCTCTTTAAACTTTTTCATCCCAAGGGCAAATTGCCTAACAAACTGAATAGCCTCTCTAACTTTCTTTACAGAACTTCCTATTAATCTCAACCCATCAACAACAATTAAATTTACAATGTGAGCAACGCACCTCATGTGTAGAAACCGACACTTCATAATAGAAAAGTCCTAATTAAAATTTTTTTCTTTCAAGTATAATAGAGCAACATCATTAAAAGCAACATTGTCTACTATAATTATAAACACTTATCAATTCTCCATTCAAGCAAACATTTTTCAATTTCTATTCTAATATCCCTCCCCTTGTGACTAGATATTGGAACAAAATTCAAAATCCTCTTAGTCAAATTCCAATCAGCATCAATAAAATGGGTAGTAATACATATGCAATTGATTCTTTGAATAGAAGTCCAAGTGTCAGTTGTTAGACAAACCCTTTATTTGTTTCTAATCAAGTAGTCTTTGAATCTAAGTTTTTTATCCATGTAAATTTTAAAACAATCACGAGCTACTGTCCATTTAGAAGGAACCTTAAGCCTTGGTTGAGCAACATCAATAAAGCGTTTAAACCCAAACATATCAATACATTTGAAAGGCAGTTCATCAGTTATAACCATGTTTGCCAAATATTTTCTAATTCCTTTTGGATCAAATTTTCAGTTAGCAAGAATGGAAGCATTATCATCTACACTAAAATTTAAGTGGGTTTGTATAGGTTCCTCAGGAGGAGGCCATTTCTTACATACACCCATATGATTCTTAAGTAAAATGGTCCCATTTTTCTTTGGATCACAAAAAAACTCCCTTTCACAATAATTGCACTTACCTTTAGTCTCTCCATGCTCATTAACATATTTGTGGAAATGAACCCAAACTTTAGATCTTAGCTATATGGCCTTCCTTTTTCTTGAACTTACTTCAGTATTAGATGTTGAAGATGGAGTTAGAGTTTGGCTATTTAGAGTAGCCATTTGTCCTTTAGCTTCATTGGGAGCAGACATCTAAACTATTAAATTAGAAAACAATAAATTAAAAGCTAGAACAGGAAGAAAATAGAGAAGAAGTCTTCAAAGTTTAAATGCACAAGCAGAAATTAGAATTATATTTACCTCAAAATTATTAGTTTTTAAGCTAAAGGGATTCATAATCAAAAGGCAATATAAAAGAGAGCCTGACACGCACTTCCCAGGAGTTCAAAAGAACAAACACAACAAAGAAGGAAGAAGAAAGCCCAAGACAAAGAGAGTTGCAAGTTGAAAATAGAGAGTTGAAGACATACCTTGCAAGTTGCTTGATTTCAGAAGGAAGACGAGGCTTGGGTTGAGCGAATGAAGGGCGACGGAGAATTAACAGAGGAGGGAGATGAAGCTTGATCTGAGAAGGAAGATGAAGCTTGAGTTGAGCTTAAGCTACGGTTTGTGCCTTCGTGAAATAGTGGAAACTGAATGAGAAGAGAGCCGAGAGAGTGAATAGTAGACAATGGAGAACGGACGGAGAAGGAGTGGCTAGATTAGGGTTTGTGTCGTGGAGATTGAGCTCTAAAGGAGAAGAGTGCCGTCAACTGCCAAAAGAGTGAAAGAGGAGAGCAAATCATCAAAGTAGAGTGAAATGAGGGTTTGAGTTTTGATGTTGCGGCTGTGAGTTTGTGACTGTGAGAGTTGAGATTGTGACAGAGACACACAGAACAATCGAGTTCGAGAGATGGAGAGAGTGAGTGATGAGGAAACTGGTGAGGGTTTTTTTTACTAAACCTAGGTTAATGGTATTGGGCTAGGCTAGTAGCTAGCAGGCTTCTAAGTTCTAATATGTTACCTAGAATCTCCCTTTTACTCCCACCGGACCTTCTTTTATCAAATATGATATTAGTATTTCTAAAAATATATTAATAAAAATAAAAATAATCTTTAATAATATAAATCAATTATAATATTTATAATTATATAAAATTAATATTGGTTAATTCGGTCTATTCAGTTTTACAATCCTCAAACCGAACGGAACCATTTAAACCAATTTTTTTTTAAAAATAAAACAAATCGACCATTTGAACTGAATAAAACGAACCAAATAGATCAAACTTAATTTGGTTCGGTTCGATTATCAATTTTGATTTGGTTTTGCTCAACCCTATTGGACATGCTCGGGCCGTATTAGGTTTACAAGTGGTAGGTTTTTAAGAACAGCCATAGTGGACATGCCAGTTAACATCTTAAATGTTAACTTGCGAGAACTTAGTGCTGCCAACTAAACGCATGCGAACATGCATACACAGACATGCAAGTCTCCAAACCCTAAACTTGCCTGTTGATGTGGCTTGAATTATAAACTTGATTAAGAGGGGGGAAAGACACAAAGACTTGTTTTTTAAAGTGTGACAAAAAGACTTGATCAATAAACTACTTCAAAAATTAAACATTTGCAAATCTGTGTGTGTGTGTGTGTGTGTTTTTTTTTTGGGGTGTATATAAGTGTATTAGATATACGCTTGGTCTATAGAAAATAAATAGACCGTGTAATCACTAATATATGTATAAGTATAACATCAGTGAAACTAAACTTTGATTTGTTTACGTGCTTCTACACAAGTCATGGTTAATTAGTTATTAGCTTACATTTTTCGGGCTGAGTTCATCTATAAGGATTTCTGAAGGTGTGTTCAGGTTTTCTTCTTTACCTATATTTGGGGGGGGTGTTTAAAGAGAAAATTGACCCATAAACTTATTTTTAGTATAATATTCCCTTTTAAGTTTTTTTTTGAAAATGATGTAATATAGCTCCTATCATTAATAAAAATTAATTTTAACTGTTAGTTGACCAAAAAATGATTAAAAGAGACCTCAAAAATTATGAGAAAAAAACATTACCAATAAAATTTTCTTGCCCCATTTTGTAATTGTTGGGTCCTTTAATGTAATTTTTTGATCATTTTCTGTCATTTTTTAGTTAACTAACAATCAAAGTTAATTTTTTGTTAACAGCAGTTAAGAATCAAATTACACTATTTTCAAAAGTTGGAGAAGAATATTACACCAAAAAATAATTTTAAATTCCTAGATGCTCCTAGGCCAATAATTTAGGAGTCATTTTGCTCTTTTAGCCCACGGGTGCGGGTTTGACCGGCTTGCTAGCTAAAGAAAGATGTTACCAAGAAAGATAAAAGTTGAAGTAAAAATGAAGCTAACTGCATCTTGTTTTGACTACGGTTCTGGAAAAGGCCCTAAAAGCAGAAAATGCTAGGCTTTCTGAGAAGGTGAGATTGTTGTACATTTTTATCTTGAAATTATTTATTTCCATCTCCTTCCTTAGAATCAAGTTTCTGCACTTTCTAGTGCAACACTTGTGGACTGTTTCCAGCTAGAGAGAATATGTTTGGATTGAGGAATAAAGGAGATGGATAGGAAAGTTTTTATTCTTTTGATTTAGAACCAATCATTTTAATCTAAAATTAAGAGAAAGGTAGAAGGTTTTTACTGCATATTATATGATTGCATTTGACGGAAGAGAGGATATTGATTTTACTGTGCTTTATGGTATGAAGGCAAGTCAAGGAAGACAGAATCATAGTGAAAACATTTCATCTTCAGATGTAGAGACTGATCTGCTCATCGGACTTCCAAAAACAGGATCAAGAGATCATGAATGCCATCTTGTACGGATCATAATTGTCCCATAAACAATGCTGAAGATTACGAAATAATCAACATATATACGCTATTAGGAAACAAGCTAAGCAGTATAATAAGCATGATTTGTCATATGTCAAGTTATCTTCCATGATTTCTGGCTCTTGTTCGTACTTTGTATGTTGTTCTTTTGATTAATTTCTAGTTGCACGAATAATTAATCTAAGCTACCTTGATTTTCCATCATAACCCCTTAACTTGACATTGTTTGATGAACGAACATGCATGCCTTAGGATCGTAACACATGCAAGCATCAAATTTTGGCAATTAATTACTTTAGTCTGATTAATCCATTTTTTGAGATAATTTTCATGGTGATTATTTGAGAGTTGATTGTATGCATGTAAGGAGTTCATTGTGAATATTAATGTAATGACAGTTGATGAAGTGGTTATTGATTAATGTGCGGTTTGAAATGGGTGCTATTGACATTAATTGAGTCTATATTTTGTGCGAAAGAAACAGGAGGAGCAAAGGTCCGTTTGTGTCGGTAAGGAGAGAAGACCAATCCTGCAAATGGGTTCACTGCCATTGGAGATGAGATTGCGACGAATTTAAAAAAAAATAAAATAAAACCAAGAAAAGTGTATCTACTTGTTTTTTTCCCCCTTTGTGGGTAATTAATGGGTTCAACCTTTAATGAAGGGGCTTTTTCTCTTTTACTTAAAATGAAAAGTTATATAAAGTACTTTAATAAGTGAATAAGAGTTTTTGTTTTATATATTATTCAACATACCAAATGTTATATTATTTATATATTCTTTTTTATTATATATATTATTAATTCTATCAAATTTTATACTATTTTTGTGAATAAAAATATAATTATTTTTCATTTTCGTAATTTTTATTAGTAATTACTTATATAATTCTATTTCATTTTTAAATACTATTATTTTTTTGTAAAATTATCACTTAAAATATTAAACTCATGGTTCTAGATACTATTACTTTTTTGTAAAATTATCGAATCAATATTTATTCATTATTTAATTTTTGTTTTTTTTGCCAAAAATATGCGAACTTTGTTAGTTTTTTATGATTTTTTTGGTTAAAAAATTAGAGGGAAGTAGAGATTTTAATTTGTTCAATTATAAAAATAAAATAAAATAGGGTTGCATTTTTAATTAAATTTTTTACTCTTTTTCTAACATCTCTGCATTAAAATTTTATAACCTTGTTTATCCAGTTTTTTTATAATTGAATTCATTTAAAATCTTATATGTCTATCTCCTCCCCTTCTCCCCTTCCGTTCCACAACTACAAAATCAGTGCACAGGGACTAAAATCTGGTAAAAATGTGTTTTGACCAATTTTACAGTGAAAGCAGTTAAGAACCTCATGAATTATACTAAAGAATTACTGTTCTTTTTTTTTTTGGGATATAGTATAGAATTACTATTCTAGATCCTATGCAGGAAAGGGAATTTTTTCTACTAAATTTCTTTTTGGAGAGCATTGAGCACTTTGTACCAAAAGATGAGGCTATATCCACCTAAATATTTTCTTTCATGACTAAAATTGCACTTATGTTAGAAACTCATCAGTTTCTCCATTATCTACTTATATGAAATAGTTGTAGGGCCTAAGTATAGTATAGCAACAATTATGACCCATTTTGGCAATCTAACATGGATCAAATGGACTAAAAGTGGGAATGGTAGGAATCGAGCCTTTGGGTCAAAATGTGTTGCTACTATTGTACATGGACCTCACAACTATTCTAATGTATGGGGATATTATCCCATCATTCAATACAAGGTGATCAATGCTTCTCTGAAAAAAAAAAAAAGGAGAAAAAATAGGTTTTAACCTTTGTAAAATATTATACTGTATGCCAGATTGATGATCTTCTGTATGTCAATTGTCATTCTCATCATCTTTCTATCCCTCAATGACTCTTATTTCTTTATTGCTCTTATTTCTCTATCAATTTTATGACATTTTTTTTGGGCCGAAAGATTCTATGACGCTATTTGAGTTCATTTTATTTTTTATAAACTCATCATATATTTTATTGGAAAAAAATGACAATAAAATTCTGCTAAAATATATAAATAACAATTGATGACTTTCAATATTTTAGTAAATTTATTGGAAGTCATTTCTTTGAATTTATTAGCAAAAATATGTTTAAGTGAATGATTATGTGTGAGAATGGATATGAAAATTTGATTAAAAGTTAGTGGATCAATTATAACATTAATTCTAGGCTTTATATATATAGGGAGGCTCAATTTGTGGGCCTGAAGGTGAAAATTTTGCAAAAACACATTTTTGCTGTAATGAAGTGTGAATTTTAATAAAGCAAATAGCTTTTATCTTCAGTGAATGTTAAAGGTTTGGGGACCTCATTTTTTTTACCAATCTTCATTTATAACAACTATAAAACATCCAAGGAGAGGAAAAAGAGTCAAAGGAGAGTTAAAAAAGCTTGAGTTTAATAGAAAATTAAGGGTTTAGTTCAAGATTGCTCCAATTAAGTATTTTTTTTCATTCTTCTTTTTATTTGGATGAATATATTGCTGATATTTGCAATTATTATAGCCATATGTGGCTAATTTTCTTTTAATCTAGGATAGCTATAAACTAATTCTTGAATTAGATTATGTTAGAACCATTTATTTGAGCTTAATGTTAGTTTTGTTTAACTTAATCTCATACTTATTGTCTATTTAATACTTGGCCATTATTGAGTATGAATTTGGGGCTTTGGGTTCTGTTTTGGGAAAGGAAAATCTCAATTAGACCATTAGATTAAGTAATAGAGGATTAAAATTTATTCTAATCTGCTAATAAGATATGAATAAACTTATTGGACCCATATAATCACATTAAAGTGAATTTATGTTTTTTGCCCCTTGGCTATTTTGTTAGGAATAAAATATTAATTTAAGAGAGGAGTGTAATTAACAGGAAGATAATTATTCTTATTAATACTCTAAATTAATAAATTAATATTAAGTAAATTTATTTGGACAATTACATGCTCTGTGAAATTAAAGAAGGGCTTAGCCACCCTAGATTACTTTGATTATTTGTGGTTGTTAAAACTTTTTATTTCAGTAGTTTTATGTAATTTTAATTTCTTATTTTGTGAAATCAAATCCAAATTTTGTTTGCTTGACTTAAATGAAAATAAAAAATTTATTATATAATTACCAATTAACTTGATTATCTATGGGAATAACCTTGATTTATCATGTATCATATTTATGAACATACCCTGTGGAATTTGTTATGTATTTGTGTGCATTAATAGTCAAAATCATTAAAATGTCATAATTTCTTTAAAGTCTTTGAGTACCTTTTTGACATTAATGATTTTAGATTCAATAACTAAATTGTCCTTTGTTTAAAATAAAACAAATAATGAGTTGGAAGTTGTGATTTCTTGTTCATCAATTCTTGCGATTTACGAAATAAATGTTATAATTGCTTAAACAAAATTTAAAATTGGTTATTTTTGGAACTTGAACTTCAATGATAAAATAAATTTCACATAAGAAGTTATGATTTTTATTTAATTCTTGTAATTCACATAATAAAAGTTATGATCGTCTAAAGAAAAGTTGTGAGTAGCTATTTTCAAAACTTAGACTTCAATATGCAATAAAAGAAATTTCAAGTGGAAAGTTGTGATTTTTTGTTTAATTTTTGAGATTCATAAAATGAAATTAAAGTTGTCATTATTTAAATAAAAGTTATGATTGTAATTGATTATTTTTAGAACTTATTTATCAATCATAAATCAAATTTCAAGCGAGAAGTTGTAATTTTTTATTTAATTTTTATAATTTACAGAACAAAAGTTATAATTATTTAAATAAAACTTGTTATTAAGAAAATGAAGTTAGGTTCGTTATTTTCATTTTAAATAAGGAATAATTTAATTATTTAATCTAACATTATTAATGTCAGAAAGCTACTAAGAGATTTTAAAAGAATTATTATATTTTAAGAGACTTACTTATTATTTGTGTATTTTAATAAAATTTTATTATCATTTTTTCTATCTAATTTCATTACTTTTCAATAACTAAAGGAACTAAGGAAAAAGGGGGACAAAATCGATCTTATCATCGCACTATCTCAATAATTCTTAGCCAAGGATGCAGCCAGAGGATAAGGCATTGTCAGAGACTTGTGTTTACATATTTTCTTTCTCATAAATAAAAAAAGAAGGAAAAAAGAATTAAATGAAATTTATTTTTAAAATAAATATAATATAAAATATAAAAATTTAGATAATTAGTGTTTCAAATAATAAATTTTAGAAGTTATAACTCGTTTGGCTTTTAATTTCCATAAATAACGTCATGTACAAATATGTCATCAACTTTTTTTAAGTAAACAAATTAATATTTTCAACTCGCATGCACACACGTGTCACGCAGAATTTTAACTCTGAACATTGTGGTCACAAGGAGGCGGCCGCTGAGATAATTAATCATTGACAAAAAAAAAAAAGGCTTTTCTTTTGGACAAAAAACTGTGGCAATTAATGTCACTGTGATAGCGAAATATATGCTTACGTGTCACATAAAATAAAATATTCTCAAGTCCAATTCATACTTTAGCGTGACGTATTGTCAATTATGCAATCACATTTTGGATCTTCTCCATTACTTGTAACATGGAAGCTGAAAGGGATTTGTAAATTGTAATGCTTTTTCAATAAATTTCTTATCTTTCAAATAAAATATTATCTCCAAATATTTTCATTAAAATCAAATATTAACACTTTTTCAAGGGACAGGGGTTAAATTCCTTTTTTTTTTTTAAAGAAACAAGGGTTAAATTCTATTTAAACAATATTTTGATTGCTTATAGGTATCATCATATTTGAGACAATCTCATTCAAAGTGCAATCAAATATTAAATGTTGACATCTTTCTCAATGGACATTCATACCTTAACATGCTTGTCATGATGAATTAGTCACTTCTATAGATCTAATCTCTTCTTTTGGGTTAAAGACTCAATCCCTATCGGTTCTAGTTAAACAAATTTGTGTAAAGTATAAAAAAATTGTATCTAATTATTTTAATGCATAAAAATGTTGTGGCATTATATTATTGAGAGCAAAACTTATGTACTTAATTTTATATACTTAATATATTTTTATTCAATCAAAAAAAAAGTTAATTT